ACACAGGGGCCGGTCCCCTCCCTGCTGGGACACGCTGAGCTCGGTCACAGCACTGTCACTGCACCCATGTGTGCTGTGCTGGGGACAGGGGGGTCATACCACCCTCCTGGCCCAAAGGAGAGGCTGTGACAGTGTCACCCTGCCCAAGGACACCTCCCTGGTACTCCCGGGATGATCCTGCCCAGGGACCCACCTGTTCCCGAGGTTTTCAGGGCGCTTTTCAGCAGCTCCGAGGACACCCGGATGGATGCTGCTGAGGGGGGCAACTTCCCCTCTCCCGGGGTTTTCCCCTCCTCGGGCTCAGTCTGTTCCTGGGACACTTTGAGGAAGGTCTCCACGGGGTCTGGGGGGGCAGGGGGTGCGTCTGGCCCGGGGGGGCTGCTCCCGAAACGGAGGCACTGGAGCATGTCAATGGTGCATTGGCTGAGGGGCAGGCAGATCCCCTCCCTGTCCGGGGACAGCAGGGGCGAGTCGTCGGGCAGGAAGTCATCCAGGTCCTCGGAGGAGTCGGAGCCGCTGCCCAAAATATCCCGTAAACTGTAGTAGAGGGCACAGGAGATGGTCAGAGGCAGGTCCAGCTTGGTGTCCGCAGTGGGGCCGAGGGGCAGCGTCAGCTCCCGCTTGTTCCCGGGGAGCAGCTGGTCAATGGGGAATGTGAAGGTGGTGGCCGAATCCACGGACTCCTCCTCTAAGGCACAGGGGCTGGCCAGGAGCTGGACACAGAGGGTCCAGCCCTCCTCCAGGCTGTACTCGCTGCAGTTTTCCAGCAAGCAGGAGATGGTGACGGTGTCCTGGAGCAGGAGGCAGCTCCAGTTGGCAGTGACGGTGCAGGCGATGGGCTTGGGGCCCTCGTGGCTGGAGAGCAGCGCTGCGCTCACGTTCATCACCTGGTTCAGGCTGGCCAGGGCTCGGTTCCTCTGGTCCACGGCCTTCTTCAGGAAGGACACTCTGCAAGGACAGCGTGACAGGGATGGAACAGCGGGAGGGATGCCGGGACAGCGCCGGGAGCGCGGTGCCAAAGGCTCTGTGCTGCCATTGCCGAGCTGAGCAGCCACTGGCATGATCCCAGTGCCCAGAGCCACCACAGGAACCTCCCAGCTCCTTCCCCACGGCAGCCCCAGATCCATTTCCCCACCAGAGCTGACCCTGTGGAGCAGCTCTGGACAGCCAGACTCTGGGAATTCCCCCGTGGAGGGAGGGGGGGCCTTGCCCACACCCCCTTCCCGTGCACAAACAGCCATGGAGACGGAGGCACGTGCCTGCCCTGCCTGTTAGTGCCAGCTTGGCATGCGTGACAGGCGCCTGGCACCCTGCCTGTGCCACCTTCTGCTGCCATGGCTGCTGCTGCCAGCCCGCCCACAGCGCTGGGGATGGCTGTGCCATGGAGAGGGGGCTGCCCTCAAACACTGGTTTTATGTTACTGAGGCTGGGGGAAGCTTCCCAGCCGGGGAAGGTAAAATATCTCTCACTGGAATGAGATGAGCTTTAAGGTCTCTTCCAACCCAAACCATTCAGAAATTCCATAATTAATTACTGACAGAGGCCTGCACAGCCCCTAGCTCAGTGCCCCTGCACCCCTGTACCTCTCCGAGGTGTTCCCTATCCCGGACAGCAGCTCCTTGATCCTCCGGCCAATCTCGGCAGGTGTCAGCTCCACGTCCGGCTCCTCGGGGCTGCACAACCCACAGGACACGAGGCTGCCCTTGGCCGAGAGAGCCAACAGCTCCGACTCACCTGGGGCACAGACAGGGCTGGTCAGGGCTGGGGGGCCAGGAGGGGAGCAGGAGCTTCCCGGAGGGCTGAGGGGGGGATGCAGGGGGGACAGGGAGCAGGATGGCACTGCCTGCCTCAAGGCAGCGGGGTATGATGGAGACAGGACACCAACCACAGCACACCCAGCTCACACGCAGCCCCCCAAGAAGGGACACCTGCCCTGTCCCCACCACCCCCCAGCCAAGGCCAGCAGCACCCAGGGAGGGTCACAGCTGCCACACAACGTCCCTGCTGGTGGCACAGGCAGCTCCGTGGGCAAGGAATCTGGACAGCAGCCCAACCCTGTACAGAGCCACGGGGAGGGGACAGGTGGGATCCCACTGCCCCAGTACCTTCTGAGGCCCGAGAGGACAAGGAAAGAGCCACGACACTGCAGATACTCAAGCTGGCCGGGGACAGGACGGGGGGCAGGACGCCGGTGCTGCTCTCGGTGTCCTCGGGGTCCGAGGCGTCCCCCGCGCGGTCCAGGTCGACGGCGGAGATGTCGGAGTGGGTGCTGTAGTACATGCGGCTGCCGCTGCC